GGGGGGGGGGGGGGGCGGCCTCCAGAGAAGAGCCGGGGGCCTCCTGCCAACTCAGCCCCAGTTGTAGAAGTAGATCTTCTGCCAGCAGGGGAGGTAGTCCATCAGAGGGCCTGCAAACACAACCGGGTCAGAACCAGGAGCCCATTTAAACCTGCCCAAAGACGACCAATCAAAGACCCAGAGGTAGTGACAGAAGAAAGCCAGAGATGGAGGGAGGTGGAGGAGATAGATGGAGGATATGGATGGAGATGGAGGAGATAGATGGAGATGGAAGGAGATGGATGGAGATGGATGGAAATGGGAGGAGATAGATGAAGGACATAGGAGGAGAGGGATGGAGGAGATGGATGGAGGAGATGGGAGGAGATAGATGGAGGAGACAGATGGAGGACATGGGAGGAGATGAATGGAAATGGGAGGAGATGGATGGAGGACATGGGAGGAGATGGATGGAGGACATGGGAGGAGATAGATGGAGATGGAGGAGACAGATGGAGAACATGGGAGGAAATGGATGGAGGACATGGGAGGAGATTGATGGAGGACATGGGAGGAGATGGATGGAGGACATGGGAGGAGATGGATGGAGGTGAATGAGATAGATGGAGATGGAGAAAATAGATGGGAGGAGATTGGGGCGATAGATGTAGGTGGTCGGGTGGAGTGAGAGGGGTCCGGCCGCCGGCCGGTACTCACGGGCCACCAGCCCGACTCCGGGGACGTTCTCGGCCAGCAGGCGGAGCAGGAGGAGGATCTTCTTCCTGCGGAGGAAGCAGCCGTTAGAGCAGCAGCTCCACCCACCAGCAAACGGCTCGACACAAACAGGCAAAACCACGCAACGCAAACAAGAAATACACAATAACCCCCGAGTGATGAAATGTTTTTCTAGTGATTGTAAAAACCCTTTGATATCGAATCAAACGAATAGAGAATTTATTTATTTTCCACTAAAAAAGTTCAATAAAAGAGGAAAAGCTCTCCATGTGGTCCTGCTGGGACCGGGCTTCAAAACACCTGGACACCAACCACCCCCTCTTAGGGTTTAGTTCCTTAGCTGATTAATGATCTAGTTATTTATTTAGTTTACTGCTTAGTTTCATCATTAGTTACTTATTTGGTCAGTTAGCCAGTTAATGATCTAGTGAATTATTTAGTTAGTTACACAATTACTGGCTTTGTTTAGTATTTAGTTAATTGTATAATTAGTTATTTATTAAGTTAACTGCTTAGTTTAATCATTAGTTACTTAGTTGCTCAGTTAGTTACTTAGTTAATGATCTAGTTAGGCAGTCACATTATTTATTAATTAATGTTTTCTGGTTAGTTTTATCTTTAGCATTTAATTAACTGCTTAGTTTGATCATTACTTACTTATATGTTTACTTAGTTGGTCACTTAGTTACTTATTTAATAATCTAGTTAGTCAGTTACATTATTAATTACTTTTTTAGTTAATTATCTAGTTAGTTCTATCATTAGTTAATCGTTTAGTTAACTTATTTTCATCATTAGTTACTTAGTTGGCCAGTTAGTCACTTAATGCCTTAGTTAATGATCTAGTTGGAAAATTACATAATTAATTGATTTCTTAGTGCATGATCTAGTAAATTAAATAATTAATTTCATTAACTGCTTAGTTTAATCATCAGTGACTTAGATGGTTAGTAAATCAGTTAGTTACTTAGTTAGAAATATAGTTAGTCAGTTACATTATAAATTGCTTTTTTGGTTAATTATCTAGTTGGTTCTATCATTAGTTATTTCATTAACCGATTAGTTTCATCATTAATTACTTGGATGGTTACTTGGTCAGTTGCTTAGTAACCGATGTAGTCAGTGAGCTTCGTCATCAGCTGCTTGGTTAGTTTCAGATTTGGCTAAACCAGATGACCCGGATGGGGGGGGATGTCGTGTCCAGATGTTTACAGGTCAGACCTTCGCTCTGCTCTGGGCTCAAATCATCAGAATCACCCTTTCAAAGCGTGAACGATCAGATGAGTTGGCGATTTTTGTTCTGTCATTCGCTCCCACATCGTCCCACCAGCGGAAACAAAACAAAAAAAAGGGGCTTTTTCAGAACCCAAGAGCTGGAAAGCCCCACAGACACCCACTCTGAGTATTTGTCGTAGAAAGGCGAGCGCAGGAGGTAGTAGAGCAGCAGGAAGCCCCGCCTCCTCATCTCAGCCCGCTCCCAGCGGCTCTGGAACCGCGCCTGCTGGAGGACGGCGAAGCTGCAGGAGACCACAAAGCCAACACATGAGAGAGACCCCCCCTCAGGGGCAGTTAGGGTCAGGGGGTAAGGGTAAGGTTTAGGGTCAGGGTTTGGGGGTTAGGGTTAGGGTCAGGGGGTTAGGGTGATGTTTAGGGTCAGGGTTTGGAGATTAGGGTTAGGGTAAGGGTTTGGGTTAAGTTTAGGGTCAGGGTTAGGGTTTCAGTCAGAGTTAGGGGGTCAGGGTTATAGGGTTATGGTCAGAGTTAGGGGGTCAGGGTTAGGGTTAAGGCATTAGGGGGTCCCCTAATCCCCCCTAAAATGTGCCTAAAAGAGCAGGAGAGCCCATCCAGAGCTTCTGTGGGTTACCTGGACATTTCCAGGACTCCCGAGATGAGCCAGGGCTTCCAGGACCGCTGCCCCCAGAGGCCGAGGCAGAGCACTGCAGCCGGGCGGCCGGTCAAGGAAAACGCCCAGAAAAGAGCAAAACACAAAGTACAGCGACAAAACAACACAACAGCAGGCTGCCGACCCCCGTTTACCAGATTTAGTCACTTTGGAGAAAAGATTTAGAAATCTAGCAGAATACAATACAAAAAACAGACACAAACTAAGCAAAAAAAGGACAAAAATACACAAAGACAAAAAATAAATGGTGCAAAATGAGAAAAAAAACTAAGCAAAAAAGGAATCAAAAAACAGAATTTAAGCAAAGAAGGACAAAATACAAAAAGATAAAAATACAAGGTGCAAAATAAGAAAAGAAATACAAAAATTAAGCAAAAGTTAGTCAAATATTTGAAAAAAACGCAAAAAGAACACAACAAAATGCACACACTTAATACAAGACAAAATAACAAAACAAACATAACAGGAGGAAAAAGACAAAAAAGCACAAAAATGAAGCACAAAAATGGGCAAAAATACAAAAGAGACAACAGTTACGGCAAAAAAGACAAAGAATTAGGCAAAAAAAGGGACAAATACAAAAATTTGGCAAAAAAAACACTTAAGGATTAAAAAATGAGTTGAAAATTAGGAAAAATACAAAAAAAAAATAGGCAGAAAATTGCCAAAATGTCATAAAAACACAACACAAAATGGCCAAAAACATATATTTAACACATACAAACATCAAAAAGCCTGAAAACGTTATAGGGTGCACAAAGACAGACGCGGGACCAGGACTAGGACCAGACCGGGACCAGGACCAGGTCCAGGAGGCCTGGGGAAGGATACGGTGCGCCAGTGGCCGTCCGATGAAGACGGACTCGGCCAGCGTCTCCTGGAGGCTCAGAGCCGCCGGCGGGCCGTCCGGCTCCTCCTTCAGGCCGCTCCTCTGGGGGCCCCCCCACAGCCGTTCCCGCGGGGAGGGGGCTGCCGGCACAGAGGGGACACGTCACACCCAGACCAGACCCGGAGGCCTGAAGCTGGGATCTGCTCGGGCCGCACAGAGGTAAGCTCAAACAGGCTTTTAGGGTCAAACTGGGCTGAAAACGTCTTTTTGAAAACATATTTTTGGGTCAAACTGGGCTGAAAATGTCTTTTTGAAAACATATTTTTGGGTCAAACTGGGCTGAAAATGTCTTTTCAGTCAAACTGAGCTGAATAGCCTTTTTTTAGGGGGGGTCAAACTGGGCTGAAAACATCTTTTTGAAAACATCTTTTTGAAAAATCTGTTTGAAAACGTGTTTTTGGGTCAAACATGGCCGAAAACGTCTTTTTGAAAACATCTTTTTGGGTCAAACTGGGCTAAAAAAATCTATTTAAAAAAGTCTTTTTGGGTCAAACTGGGCTGAAAACATCTTTTTGAAAATGGCTTTTTGGGTTAAACTGGGCTGAAAACGTCTGGAAGCTGGCAGCAGCCCTGGGGGGGCCGCCTCAGCCTGACCGGCTCAGAGGGAGAGAGGCTCACCGCTACCCAGCGGCCGGATGGCCCGCCCCGACCTTTGACCCACGAAGCAGCCGGCCTCCTCCTGCTCGCCACCGCCGTCTGTGGAGGAGAGCAGCCTCAGGCAGGAACCAGCGCGGGGGGGGGGGGGGGGGCAGGACCCCCGTTTGGGCCCCGAAACCAGCCCCCCAAAAACAAAAAATATATATATAAAATGTTTGTTATATATTATATTCTTATAATACATATTATATTACATATATGTAAACAAATATATAAGCATATTTGTTTGATATATTTGTTTTGTCATGTTAATGTTCGTTTGTTCTTTTCAAAATAAAAAAACAAAAGAAATAAATGACATAAATGACATAAAAAGAAAAGACCAAATAGCAGCTCCTAGTGTTGATGAATGGTAATATTTTTAAGTATATTTCTATACTTATATAAGGATATGTGTGTATATATATATATAATATTTTTTAGCATATTTCTATAATATATTACATAAAATATATATATTCAATATATGTAAACAAATATATGACAAACATATGTACATGAATATATATATATATACACTTTTCTTTTACACTTTATATATATTTATATTTTTTCCTGTTAATTGTTTGTTTGTTCATTCTTAAAATAGATAAAAACAATATAAATAGATGACTAAAATAAAAAAGGTGTATAAGTAGCGTCCGGGCTGCTCTGCCGCCGTTGGCTGACCTTCCCCCCCGGCCCCCCCGGCCGCGGCGCTCCGGTCCAGCGGGACGATGGGGGGCGACGTCTGCAGCCCCGATTTGTGGACCAGAAGAAGGGTGAAGCGGAAGACCGCCCTGAGGAGGAAGAACGGAGCCGGATCAGGACCAGGACCGGGGCCAGGACCAGAACTCCAACCATTATAATAATATAATCATATATTAAATACTATCAAAAATATTATTCTATATAATATTATTGGAAAGATCTAGAATTTATGAATTTATACATTTTATTATGTATTATATATTTCAACAACATTAAAAAACTTGAAATATTATATTATTTCTCTCTATCTATCTATCTATCTATCTATCTATCTATCTATCTATCTATCTATCTATCTATATAATATATATAGTAGTTATATATCGTTTTAAATATTTCATAAATATTATATTAATAATAATAAATATTAAATGTGCTCAGCTGGTGCACATCCACCCAGAACCACCAAAACACACTTTACAGTAAACCAGCCAGAGGTCAGAGGTCAGATAAGCCCCCCCCAGATCTGAAAGCAGGAGGCGTCGTACTTTAAGACGTGGACCAGCGCGACCACCAGCCAGCGGCCGGCCTCCCCCCACAGCCGGCCCGCCCCCATCTCCAGGAACACCTCCAGGTGCTCCAGCACCGACAGCCAGGTGAGCAGCCTCTGCTGGGACAGAGACTGGACACGGGCGGGGTCAGAGGCCCCGGGGGGGCCCGGGGCCACCAGAGACCCAGGGCTACCAGGGGCCCAGAGCCACGGGGGGGCCCAGAGCCACTGGGGGCCCAGGCCAGAGCCTCCAGGGTCAGAGGCCCAGGGGGCTAAGAGCCACCAGGGGCCTAGGGGGCCCTGGGTCAGATCCTCAAGGGGACCCAGAGCCTCCGGGGGCCCAGGAAGACCAGGCCAGAGCCTCCAGGGTCAGAGGCCCAGGGGGCCCAGGGCAAAGTCCTCTTTTGGGGGGGGGGGTCTCACCACGGGGAGGGCCCGCCGCAGGCCTTTGCGCAGGATGGCATCGTTCAGCAGAACCAGCAGGTTGGAGGCCGAGTACACTGGAAGAAAACAGGCAGCCAGTCACCAGCAGGGGGGGGGGGGGGGCAGGGGGCTGGGCCATCTTTTCCCTCTTTTTGTTCACCAATATAAATATAGATATAAAACCGATTTATCAGCCAAAGAGCTCCATCCTTAAAATGAGCTTTAAGCCTTTTTTTCGGGCATTTTTCATGATTTTATCGTTCATTTGCAACACAAACGTTCCAGGTTCTAAGAGCAGAGAGCGGCAAAAAGACAAGACCGAAAAAAACCCTGAGCACAACCAGGAGTCCAGGCCAATCAAATACGTCCACATCGAGCTTTAAGGCACCTGATTGCTGGTTTTATTGTCCTGAAGAAGTCTAGTTTTTAGACCCAATTTAAACAGAGCAAAGTCACCAAATGAAGACAAATCCAGAAAATTTAGCCTCAAATGTGATTTTTAATGCTGTGTTTGAGTAAAAGCTGCAAGAAGAAATTGTTTATCCTGTATAGGAATATATGGAAAAGGGTAACAAAACTTTCTAATCATATAATCAGATTCTTCAATTAGTTTGTAGTTTTGAACAGAAAAAGAACAGAAAGTGTCTTTAAAAAATCTGATCAGGTGGTAAAAATACTGACAAAAAATGGTGTTTAATGTGATCAAACATTATCTGGAAACTAAACTGAACATATTCTGCTTTTTTTCTATTTAAAAAATGATCCCGGAATCGTTCCAACACAAGTATTCTTTCAAAAACTGCATCCAGGAGCTTCTTCTGGGCATCTGCGTGATTCTGCCTGATTCAGAAAGATGGAGGCGCTCAGCTGGAGGTCCAGATGCAGCTCAGCTCCTCTTCAGCTCTCTGCTGGATCTGCTCCTCTTTCTTCATCACTTTCACATCCTCCTCATCTGCTGGATTACAGAGTTTTTCTCTTCTTCTTCTGTCCTCAGATGTTTTCAGGCCTCACTGTTCACCGGCTGAGATCTGCCCAGTTTTAGGGGGCTTTTTCTGACTCAAAAAAGGATAAAACTGGACTAAAAATGAGTGAAAATGTAAAAAATATCCAAACAAAACCTAAGAAATCCTGGCTCAGTGTCACTAAAAAACACTTTGAAGGACGCCTGGCTGTTTGAGGGAAAATATGAAGAAATGGGGAAGGTGGATGAAGACTTTTTAAATGAATCTCTCTCCTTCTGATCCTGCTTACTTTCCTTGCGAGTATCCAGTTTAAACTGTTGCTTTGCAGAGCTGGCTTATCCCTTGAGTTAGGACTTGGCCTGAAGTGTTGCTCTGGGCCAGTTCAGAAAGTTAAAGAGGCAAATTAATGAGGCTGATCAGGATTTTGTAGCAGAACTGAATGAACATCATTCCTCTGAGTCCAAAGGTTAAGTCTTCCCATGCCTCTATTTAACCTGACCTGACATTTATTTAGTGAATAATTCAATAATTGATCTGCTCAGAGAACAGGGTGGGAGTGGTTACTTACCCAGTTCGGATAATTCGTGGGAATCTGCGAACCTCCCTGAAAAACAAAAAACAGGTTGTCATGAGCTGTTTTGATTTTTTTCCAAACCGAAAACGAAACCCTGCTCTCGTCCGGATCAAAGTTCCGGGTGGTTCAAAACGCGGGTTCACTTGCTCTGGTGAATTTCGGCCCCTGGGGCTCCGACCTGAGGTGTCACCGACCTGCGATCAGGTAGGACAGAGTCCGCACGGTGCTCTCCAGCTGCGCCGTGGCCGCGGGGTTCCTCCTCACATAGTCGGTGTAACGCTCATAAACGCGGGTCACTCTGTCGATGTACTCCTTAATGTGAGACATTTCCGCCCTAACGGACACGGCCGCTCCACATTTAGCCTCTCAGCTGACAATTAAACGGACACAACCACTTTTTTCCGGCCTTTTTACAACTTTTTTTTTAAAGCGCTGGAACAACTTCCGCACGTAGGGACCGGCGCTGCTTAACGTCCCCCCGCTCTCGGGCTGCAGCGCATTGGTTCCGTTCCTAGCCAGCACGCAGCGTCGCGCGCCGGTTCTCCTTCCGGGCACGTTATTGTTGCATCAGCATCCACTCAGCGCCGTGGAAATGTCGGGCTCAGGAGAAACAGGTACAGTCATCCCGAATACCCGCCTCTGTTTCTCTTTTTTTTAGCGACAATTTGGTCGCGGGCCAGTTATCATTTTTTCGCCGCTCGGTTGAATTTCTGGGCAGCTGTCACATTAAATAAGCTAACGTTAGCAACGTTAGCTGTTAAACGGGAGCTCCGAGTGACATACCAGACTCCCTTTAAAAATCTGCCAATTTAAGAACTCAACTCACGGAATGGCTTGTAAGCAAAGAAACACGAGTCAGCGAATGGGATCTTTTTTTCACCCGAAAATAGCTTAAACTTCTGCTTATCAACTCAGCCGAACAGAAGTGTATTAATTTGACTAATTCTTATGATAGTGGTTAAAGGTGCTCGTCATGTTTGATAGTTTCACTTTTGCCTTTCTGCTAAAGTTAAACACCGCTCTAGTCTGTTTCATAAGAATAAAACCCAACATGAAATGGATTGAAAATAAATTTCCCTGTCAACGGCTGTGTATTTCGGGTTGCATCCTGTTTCCTGAGCTACTGCACATTGTAAAGGTTTTATTACCAATAACAGCATATGTCTTGTCTTTATTCATTATTTAACATCGCTTGTATCAGGCTGAACTTTGAGTTCACTGTGGATTATTTTGCTCTGTTGTTGCATCATGGTGGAATTAATGACCTTTTATTAAATTGAACCACAGAAAGACAATAATAACAATCCACTCATAGTGTATGAGTTGCTGCACGCTGCTGTTGTTGCACGTTTTTCTGCTGACATGTCCCTTAAAGTCTTTTTTGGTGGCTTATGCTGCTGTTAATTTAGCTTTTGTCCTGTCTATTTATGGGTAGCAGGTCTTTATTTGGGTGATGAGCATTGTGGATTTGCATTCAACTTTAGGTGGTTGTGCTTTTCTGAGTTGTGGCTGAGGTCTGGATCAGATGTTAAAGTAACATGATGTGAAATCGGCAGCTTCCAGCATGTTGTCCTGAACTAAAAGGACTAAAAAAGATTTGATGTGAGTCCCTGGTTTTGGCTTCAATAACCAAAAGATTTCAGATGATTTCTGGTGAATATTTTGAGTTGAATTCGGAGTCATCAGAACAGGAATGAAGCTTTTTATTTATTTTTTATGCTCAGAAATAAATGAAATAAAAAGTAAAGACACCACTGAAAGAATTCAAATTTTAATCATTTCTTCATTTTATTAAAAATATTTTTGTTGATAAACTTTATGATACATCTATAAGTATCTATAATATAATCTATAATATTTTAGAATGAAATTGAATCATTTCTGCACATTTTTGCTATAAACGAAAATGAAAAACAGGTTTTCTCATTCGATAATTGTCTGTTTTTAAAAGACATTTTGACATATTTAAAATATATTATATAAAGTTTTGTCCTGATGATGGTTCCGCATGTCCCAGAAACCAGATGCTCCCATAACGGGACTAAACTTTGCATCTTTGTGGGCCGTTTCCAGCCTTTTTCCGGCCCTGCTTTTATATTTCTCGCCCTCCTTGGGAGGCTTTCGCAGGCTGTTTCTGGCCCTGCCGGCTTGCCGTAGCGCTGCTCCTGAGCCGGCCGCGTCTCCGGGGGCTGCCGCCTGCCGGCTCAGTAACCCTGCCGCCGTCTGCCCTCTTCTCTCTGCAGCCGTCGCCTTCTTGCTGCAGATCAGCGAGGAGGCGGCGCTGGCGGCGGCCCTGGACGTCCATCTGAGCTCGCGCAGCTACCTGGCCGGCTTCGGCCCCTCCCAGGCCGACCTGAGCGCCTTCGGGCAGCTCCGCCGCCCCCCCGACCCGCAGCACGTGCACGCTCTGCGCTGGTACAGGCACATAGCAGCCCTGCAGCCGGACCTGCCCGTCAGCAGCAGTGAGTAGCAGCGGCCAATCAGAAGCCGCACAGAGGCCCCGGCAAATCAGAGGCCAGTCAGAGGCCCAGGCCAATCAGAGGCCGCACAGAGGCCCAGGCCAATCGGAGGCCCAGCCCTATCAGAGGCCAGTCAGAGGCCCAGCCCAATCAGAGGCCAAACCCAATCAGAGGCCAGTCAGAGGCCCAGGCCAATCAGAGGCCCAGCCCAATCAGAGGCCCAGCCCAATCGGAGGCCAAGCCCAATCAGAGGCCCAACCCAATCAGAGGCCAATAACAGGCCCAGGCCAATCAAAGGCCCAGGCCAATCGGAGGCCCAGGCCAATCGGAGGCCCAGGCCAATCGGAAGCCCAGGCCAATCAAAGGCCCTCGCCAATCGGAGGCCCAGGCCAATCGGAGGCCCAGCCCAATCGGAGGCCCAGGCCAATCAGAGGCCATTCAGAGGCCATTCAGATGCTGTTGGTTCTGGTTCTACTGCAGGTTCTGTTTCTGGTCCTGCTGCAGGTTGTGGTCCTGCAGCTGGTTCTGGTTTATCAGCTGGTTCTGGTTCTGGTTTATCTACTGGTTCTGGTCTTGCAGCTGGTTCTGCAGCTGGTTCTGGTTCTGGTCCTGCTGCTGGTTGTGGTTCTGGTTTATCTGCTGGTTCTGGTTCTGGTTCTGGTTTATCTACTGGTACTGGCCCTGCAGCTGGTTCTGGTTCTGCAGCTGGTTCTGCAGCTGGTTTATCTGCTGGTTCTGGTTCTACAAACGAGGGCTCCTGTGTTTCTGTGGTTCCGACCCGGCTTGTGGCTGAAAGCGTCTTTCTGTTCTGATTCCAGTCAAAGGGAAGCGGGTCCAGCCGGCCTGGTCTCCCCCAGCCGGGACAGCTGTTCCCCAGCTGAGACTCTACAACAGCCTGACCAGAGCTAAGGTAGCATTGCTCCATCCCTCCATCCCTCCCTCCATCCATCCATCCATCCATCCATCCATCCATCCATCCATCCAATGTTTATGTTTCCCTTCCAGGAGCTGTTTGTGCCCCAGAAGGGGAACAAGGTCACCTGGTACTGCTGTGGGCCCACAGTGTACGACGCCTCCCACATGGGCCACGCCCGGTAAGCCCTGATCTGACCCACTCTGACCACATTCTGACCCGTTCCGACCCACTCTGACCCGGTATTTCCCACTCCGACCCCATTCTGACCCACCCTGACTACATTCTGACCCACTCCGACCTGGTAAGCCCTGATCTGACCCACTCTGACCCCATTCTGACCCGTTCTGACCCATTCTGACCCGGTATTTCCGACTCCGACCCCATTCTGACCCACCCTGACTACATTCTGACCCACTCCAACCCCATTCTGACCCACTCTGACCTGGTAAGCCCTGATCTGACCCACTCTGACCCGATAAGCCCTGATCTGACCCACTCTGACCACATTCTGACCCACTCTGACCCACTTTGATCCCACTCTGTACCGGTGTGACACACTCTGACCCATTCTGATCCACTCTGACCCACTCTGACCCGGTATGACCCGGTCCATTATGCCCCCAGGTCCTACATTTCCTTCGACATTCTGCGGAGGACACTGAGGGACTACTTCAAGTACGACGTCCTGTACTGCATGAACATCACAGACATAGATGACAAAGTGAGTGGGAACTGCACCCAGCATGAAACCAGTATAAGCCAGCATGAAACTAGTTTAAACCGGCATGAAACCAGTTAACCCAGCATGAATCCAGTATAAACCAGCATAGAACCAGTAGATGGCATGAAACCAGTATAACTCAGAAAACATTTAGAAAAATTAAACTTAACTGCATTTTTACTCAGAAAACAATAAAAAAAAAAACAGAAACTCTGCCACATTTTTACTCAGAAAATAGTAAAAAATGTCTTGATAAAGTGTTTCTTGGCTGCTGACCGCTCTATGGGGTCATTTATAACTTCCTGCCAGTTCTCCACAGCCGGTCCGTGCGCGCTGTTCCTCTCTGGGGATTCATGCTGGTGGTTTTGGGGCTTTGCAGATCATCAGACGGGCCCGGCAGAACCACCTGCTGGACCAGTACAGGGACCGGCAGCCTGGGGCCGCCCAGATCCTGCAGGACGTCCTGAAGGCCAGAGGGGTGAGTCCAGTTTCTGCCTCCAGCCGTCCGGCGTCCGGTTTTCCTCCCAGCTGAGAAAAGCTTCCTCCTCCTAATGAAGCTCATTGGTGACTGTCCAAGTTAGTCCCAAAAACAGAAGGAAGTCTGATGCTTTAAATTAGATTTATTTCCTATTTCTTCCAGTTAAACCAGCATAAAACCAGCATTAAACCATTATAAACCAGCATGAACCCAGTATAACAATTTCCTGCAAGGGATTAGTAATTCTGATTCTGATAACCCAAAATGAAACCAGTATAAACAAGTTAACCCAGCATGAACCCACCATAAACCAGCATGAAACCATTATAAACCAGTTAACCCAGCATGAAACCAGTAGAAACCAGTTAATTCAGAAAACAAGAAAAACGGAATCTTCCTGGTGGTTGAACTGGAGTGAATGTTTACTCGGAAGCACCAAGACCCTCACCTGGTCTCACCTGGTCTGACCTGGTCTAAGCTGCTCTCACCTGGTCTGAGCTGGTCTCACCTGGTCTGATCTGGTCTCACCTGTTGGTTCTGCCCTGCTCAGCCCTTCCAGGAGCTTCTGGCTTCGACGGTGGATCCGGATAAGAAGCAGATGCTGGAGCGGCTGGACGCCGCCGTGGGCGCCGCCCTGGCCCCGCTGCAGGCCGCCGTGGAGGCCGGAGCGGCCGCCGGGGTCCTGCAGCCTCTGGCCCAGGTGAGGCCGGCCGGAGCCGCCCGTTCAGCGGGAAACGGGAAAATGAGACACTACACTCTAAAAAGCCGAAACTTTGCTGCATTTTTACCGCAGTAAACCGTAAAATACTGAAACTTTGCTGCAGAAAACATAAATTTTTCTGTATTTTTTGTAGAAAACAGTAAAAAGCTGAAACTTTGCTGTATTTTAACTGCAGAAAACAGTAAAAAACGTAATCTTTTCTGCATTTTTGCAGCCGAAAACTGTAAAGTCATCATAATTTGCTGCTTTGGGTCACTGCTGTTGTTGTCTGTATTTTTTTCTGAGTGTGATCTCTTTGTTTTTGAGGCTTTGCTGGAGAGCTCTAAGGACCTGCTGGCCGACTGGTTGGACCAGCAGTTTGGAAGTCAGGTCACAGAGAACTCCATCTTCTCCAGCCTCCCCAAACACTGGGAGGCAGAGTACCACAGGGACATGGATGCTCTGAACGTAAGGCGGGGGCTCAGCAAGGAGCCTTTTTGGGGGGGGGTGGGGTCAGTCAAACCAGGTCCCAGGACCAGAAATGGGTCCTGGGACCTCCAGTCTGAGTGTCAGTCTACTCAGAGCCGGGCTTTGCTGGTCTCTGAGCATCCTCATCTTCAGGGTAAAGGTCAGCTAAGGGGAGCCGGACCCTTTTTTTAAATCTTTATTTCCTGCTTTCTGACCTCTGCTCAGAAAACCAGTTAGATTGTTGTAGCTTTACAGTTTGGTTGTTTTTAAATATGTAGTGCCATCTATATAAAGTCCGGAGGAGGGGTGCATCACAGGAGGGGGGGGGGGGGGGGGGGGGATCTGCTTCCTGAACCAGACTGGTTCCTCAGAGGGGGGGGTCTGCTTCCTGGACCCAGACTTTAACTCGTGTCACAGAGTCCCACCGTTTCTCTGTTTGTCTTCAGGTTCTTCCCGCTGACGTCCTCACCCGGGTCAGCGAGTATGTGCCCGAGATCGTGGAGTTTGTGAAGAAGGTGGTTGCTAACGGTTACGGGTGAGCAGCAGATCAGCATCCGACGGCCGGCTGCTAACAGCTTCGCCTCTAACATTTGCTAACAGCTGCTGACAGCCACTAACAGCTGTCAATGGCTGCTAACAGTTGCTAATGGCTGCTAAAAGCCGCTGACAGCCACTAACAGCTGCTAACAGCCACTAATGGCTGCTAACAGCCTATAACAGTAACTGACAGTCGCTAACTTCTGCTAATAGCCTCTAACAGCCGCTAACAGCTGCTAAAAGCTGCTAACAGGTGCTAACAGCCGCTAACAGTTCCACTGAAACCTCTCTGTCTGCAGGTACGAGTCCAACGGGTCAGTTTACTTCGACACCTCCAGGTTTGACGCCAGCCCGCAGCACTCGTATGCCAAGCTGGTCCCAGAGGCCGTGGGAGACCAGAAGGCCCTGCAGGAGGGGGAAGGTACTCCAGCTCAGAGGGGAAAGCCCTGGAATTACAGCATTTTTACAGCCTTTTCGAAAAAAGAAAATATAAACATTGGCCTTTATCCTGAAATCACATCTTTTTATTTGTTTCCTCACATTTACATTTAGGAAAGTCATGAGACTTTCAGTGTCCCTCAGTTCATTTCCTGGGTTTAGAATGTTTAAATCTGCATCTTTCATCAGAAGTTGGTTCCAAATTGGAGCTTTTTTTCTTATAATCTGACTGAAAAAGGGCCTAAAGTGGATTCCAGATGTGAGCCGGGGCCCTTGGGTCTTGATTCTTGGCCTGGCTCAGCCCTCTACTCTCTCTCGACTCTCTGCAGGTGACCTGAGCGTCTCGGCCGAGCGGCTGAGCGAGAAGAAGTCCCAGAACGACTTTGCTCTGTGGAAGGCCTCCAAGCCCGGGGAGCCATCCTGGGACTCTCCCTGGGGGAAGGTAATGCCTCTCTGGGCCCCACGGGGGGGTTATGCTCTGTGGGGTTTCCTTTCTGACTGTAGCCGTGCTGTCTATTCCTATCCCTATTGCTAACCCTAATCCTAACCCTATCCCTTACCCGCTACAGGGACGGCCTGGCTGGCACATCGAGTGCTCGGCCATGGCCGGATCCATCTTGGGAGAGTCGATGGACATCCATGGCGGCGGCTTCGACCTGCGGTTCCCTCACCACGACAACGAGCTGGCCCAGTCAGAGGTAAGTTCCTGCTGAGAACTGCTGGAGGTGTAACCCCAACCCTAACCCTGAACCTAACGCTGAGCCTGAGTCTAATCCTGAACATAACCCTAACACTGAGCCTAACCCCAACCATGACCCTGAGCCTGACCCTAACCCCAACCCTGACCCCAACCCTAACCCTGACCCTAACCCTAACCCTAACCCTAACCTTGACCCTGAATCTGAGACCAACCCCGACCCTAACTCTGACCACGACCCTAAACCTAACCCCAACCCCAGGTTATCAGGTAGTGGAGGGATCCTTTCCTCCATTCAGTAAACACGTAAAATAACCAGTCTGATATGTTACGGTAAATTAGACGTTAGTGCATCACAATATATAGCAGCTAGCTTAAAGCTGACGAGGTTTTCTCGTAAAAAACATAAAAACAAAACCGCTGGTACAGAATTATTTGAACTACCTGTTGTTGTAATTAAGATCAGATTCAGAGTTTACCTTTATTGTCCACATATTTTTAACAGGCGCCTTCTCTTACTGGGTCCACTTTTAAAATGGGTACTAATAGATATATGTACATTGTACATTACCGGGGAATCCCCAGAAGAAATTAGAATATTTTTCGGCTTTTATGGCTATTTCTATATAATTTCCCTACCTTGCTGCTGCTGCCCTATAAAATCTCTCTTTCTCTCTCTCTCTCTCTCTCTCTCTCTCTCTCTCTCTCTCTCTCTCT